TCCCACCTTGGCTTCCCAAGTAGCTGGGACTACAGGCATGAGCCATCACGCCTGGCTAATTTTTATATTTTTAGTAGAGACGGGGTTTCACTATGTTGGCCAGGCTGGTCTCAAACTCCTGACCTTGTGATCTGCCCGCTTTGGCCTCCCATAGTGCTGGGATTACAGGTGTGAGCCACCGCACCTGGCCAGACTTGGTGTTTTCTTACTGTGAAATCTTTCTGACTTTTATATCTTAGTACTCCAGTGAGAGAACTTCAACACAGGCTCTTAATGTTTATTTTTCTTTCCGTATTTGGATACATCTGGTTGTATACTCTTTAGATTGCAGCCTTTTGTGAAATGTAAAGAGCCAATTATTGTTTGGCTTTTTGCAATAAGTAGTTACTACTTTAAAAAAAAAAAAAGAATGGTGGCCAGGCATGGTGGCTCACGCCTGTAATCCCAGCTTAGGAGGCTGAGGCGGGTGGATCACCTTAGGTCAGGAGTTCGAGACCAGCGTGACCAACATGGTGAAACCCTGTCTCTACTAAAAATACAAAAATTAGCTGGACATGGTGGCAGGCGCCTGTAGTCCCAGCTACTCGGGAGGCTGAGACAGGAGAATTGCCTGAACCCAGGAGGCAGAGGTCACAGTGAGCCAAGATCGTGCTGCTACACTCCAGCCTGGGTGACGGAGTGAGACTCTGTCTCAAAAAAAAAAAAAAAAAAGTGAAAGGTGAGGTTTGGGCTTCTAGTAATAATTCTTAAAATTAAAAAGTGAAAAAAAGAAACTTGCCTATTAAAATTATTAAATCACCAATAATGCCACCACTCAAAGACAACCATGGTTAGTATTTATTATATTTCTTTTGTGTCCTTTTTCTCCAAACTTTTTTTTTTTGAGATGGAGAATCACTCTGTCGCCCAGGCTGGAGTGCAGTGATGCGATCCCACCACCACGCCCGGCTAATTTTTTGTATTTTTAGTAGAGACAGGGTTTCACCATGTTAGCTAGTATGGTCTCGATCTCCTTACCTTGTGATCCACCCACCTCGGCCTCCTAAAGTGCTGGGATTACAGATGTGAGCCACTGTGCCCGTCTCTCCAAATATTTTTTAAACAAAGTGGGGATTATACTGCATATAAAATTTTGTGTTCTTTTTTCACTTAACATGTACTTACTGCAAAATTTATTTTTTATTTTTTTTTTTTGGAGACAGAGTCTCGCTCTGTTGCCCAGGCTAGAGTGCAATGACATGATTTCAGCCCACTGCAACCTCTGCCTCCATGGTTCAAGTGATTCTCCTTCCTCAGCCCCCTGAGTGACTGGGATTACAGGCGCGTACCATCACGCCTGGCTAATTTTTGTATTTTTAGTAGAGACGGGGTTTCACCATGTTGGCCAGGATGGTCTCGATCTCTTGACCTTGTGATCCACCCACCTCAGCCTCCCAAAGTGCTGGGATTACAGGCTTGAGCCACTGCACCCGACCATTTTTTTTGTTTGCTTTTTGAGATGGAGTTTCACTCTGTCACTCAGGCTGGAGTGCAGTGGCGCCGTCTCGACTCACTACAACCTTAGCCTCCTGGGTTCAAGCATTTCTCATGCCTCAGCCTCCCGAGTAGCTGGGATTACAGGTGTGCACCACCATGCCCAACTAATTTTTGTATTTTCAGTAGAGACAGTTTCACCATGTTGGTCAGCCTGGCCTCGAACTCCTTACCTCAGGTGATCTGCCCACCTCGGTCTCCCAAAGTGCTGAGATTACAGGCGTGAGCCACTGCACCCGACCATTTTTTTTGTTTGCTTTTTGAGATGGAGTTTCACTCTGTCACCCAGGCTGGAGTGCAGTGATGTGATCTTGGCTCACTACAACCTCCACCTCCCGGGTTCAAGCAATTCTCCAGCCTCAGCCTCCTGAGTAGCTGGGATTACAGGTGCCTGCCACCATGCTGGGCTAATTTTTGTATTTTTAGTAGGGATGGGGTTTCACCATTTTGGCCAGCCTGGCCTCGAACTCCTTACCTCAGGTGATCTGCCCACCTCGGTCTCCCAAAGTGCTGAGATTACAGGCGTGAGCCACTGCACCCGGCCTAATTTTTGTCTTTTTAGTAGAGTAAATTTTATATTTTTAGTAGAGTAGGTTTTGTCATGTTGGCCAGGCTGGTCTTGAACTCCTGACCTCAGGTGATCCACCCACTTTGGCCTTCCAAAATGCTGGGATTATAGGCGTGAGCCATTGCGCCTGGCGTTGTTTAATATTTTAAACAAAATTTTTCATAAAGGTAACAGATATACCTTTTTCAAAAACTAAAATTTCAGCACCTAGTGCAGTGGTTTGCACCAGCCTGGGGAACATAGCGAGACCCCATCTTTAAAATAATTTTAAAAGTTAGCTACTCTGGAGGCTGAGGCAGGAGGATTGCTTGAGCCCAGCACTTTGAGGCTGCAGTGAGCCTTGATTGCACCATCGCACTCCAGTCTGGGTGATAGAGTGATACCCTGTTTCTAAAAAAAAACAAAAAACAAAAAAACAACATACCACAAACTAACATTCCATTTCAAAAACACTGACAGGTATTGCATCCATTTTTGTTTCCACTTATCTAGTCCCTCCGGTCCCCAGTGCATTACCATTAGTTTTTCTTCTTATTCAAAAGTAGCTTTACTCAATGTATTGTTTTGTACCTTGCTTTTTTTCCTCTCTCGACAATATATTTTGTACATCTATTCTTATCAGTAGCCAGAGAATCTTCCTTGTCATAGATTAGTCATCCAGTACCCTTTAGATGGACAGTTGGGTTGTCCTCAGTTTTTGCTATTGTAAGCAATAAGACAGAATTAGTAACTCCTGTGCACCAATTTTTAAGGGAAATTTATTATTTGTACAGGAAAGCCAGCTAATACATCTAGAAATAATGATAGAATTAGAAAATCAAGATTTCCAGCATCTCCCCCCTTTAAAAAAGTACAAGAGGGAATCATTAATGAATGTTAAACCATTAAGTAAAAAGTTGAGAAGGAATAGTATATTTACATGATGCCAAATAATAGCCATAGATTACTAACTGTAAAGGGGGAGATATTCCTTTACAAAGAGGTCTGGCTGTTAACAACCTCAACCAAGTAATCGTATTTCAACAAATGATCACTAATGATTGTACAGTCTGAAAATATGTGCCACCTGATGTACTCCACCTTGAGGTATATAGGCATATCAACTGTGATGCACTGTCACCAAAAACATGTAAACTAATGAAGATTTTAGACCTAACCTATTGTTTACAGGAAATAAAGGTATAAAGAGGCAAGCTAAATGCTACTATGAGGAAGCAATCAGTTGAGTCTAGGATGTAAGGCATTCTAACAAGTCAACTGTCCTAGTCTTTTAGAAAAGCTAGTGTCAGCTGGGTACAGTAGCTCAGGCCTGTAATCCCAGCACTTTGTGAGGCTGAGGCGGGTGGATCACCTGAGGTCAGGAGTTCGAGACCAGCCTGGCCAACACGGCAAAACCTGGTCTCTACTAAAAATACAAAAATTAGCTGGGTGTGGTGGCAGGTGCCTGTAATCTCAGCTACTTGGGAGGCTGAGGCAGGAGAATTGCTTCAACCCAGGAGGCAGAGGTTGCAGTGAGCTGAGATTGCACTGTTGCACTCCAACTTGGGCCACAGAGTGAGACTGTGTCCCCTGCCCCCCCCCCAAAAAAAAGCTAGTGTCACAAATGAAAACAAAACAAAACGTGGAGGCCATTCTAGGATAAAGGAGACTAAAGAGACATAAATGTCCAAAGTCATTGCTTGAGTTTTGATTAGATTCTGGATTTTTTTTAAGTCAACTATAAATGAAATTTTTTTTGGCAATTGGGAAGATTTCGAACGAGAACTGAAGTATTCGATGATAATTGGTATAGTAATGTTATTGTGGTTATGAGGCAGAACGTCCTTCTTCCTAGGAGGTGCATAGTGAAGTAAATATGCGGGGTTAAAGTGTCTTGATACCTACTGAAATAATTCCAAAATTATACAACAAAACAAAACAAAAAAACAACTTTGATGTAGCCATATCTCTATCCATGGAGCTAGATGAGGCAAATTTGGCAAAATATTAACAATCTTGAGTCTAGGTGGAGAATAGTGTATGTTTATTGTACTATTTTTTCAACTTTCCTATTTTTTGAAAACATTCATAGTGGAGTTGGAAGAAACAATGCCACAATGGATAACATTATACATATGTGGATATTCTTTTGAAATACCATTTTATCAGGCTACATAGTCCAGTGTATAGACCACAATTTGTTCTTTAATCATTGTACTTGTGTGTACTGTTCTGCTAGTTGCCGTTTTAGTAGAATTTTAATTTGTGATGAAGTTTTTTCTTTGTAAGTCTTGTGGTAGATGAGAAAAAGAACCTAATTTTTTTTTTTTTTCCTTCCTTTTCCTTCTCTGTCCTCTACCCTGAATCTTTAGTGGACAGGAGAAAATGAGTGAGACAGGTACTCTCAAATAATCTTTTTTTTTTTTTTGAGACGGAGTCTCGCTCTGTCACCCAGGCACTGGAGTGCCATGGCACTATTTCAGCTCTCTACAACCTCTGCCTCCTGGGTTCAAGCAATTCTCCTGCCTCAGTCTGATGAGTAGCTGGGATTACAGGTGCTTGCCACCACACACGGCTAATTTTTGTATTTTAGTAGAGATGGGGTTTCACCATGTTGGCTAGGCTGTCTCAAACTCCTGACCTCAAGCAATCCACCCTCCTTGGCCTCCCAAAGTTCAGGGATTACAGGCGTGAGCCACTGTGCCTGGCCTGATCCTTTCTTTAGATATAAGGTTGAGCTATGGAGAATATGAGCGTATGAAATATTTTTGGAAGAAAAATTCTGGGAGAAGGGTCTTTTCTGAGAAAGTGTCATTAAATAGGAAAAGAATAATTTGTCTTTTGAGCTAGAATTGTATTTGCAATAGAAAGCTTCTCGTTGCAGAATAGTCGTTCTTTGATATTATTCTTTATTCCTTAGATTTCCATGAAGACAACTTACAAGGACCTGTATGGCCTCATTTTAGCTGCTTCAGTGTGTTGGAGCTGTTACTTGCTCCTTCATTTCCTGGGCCTGGTGTGACAGTGGCTACTGAGCGCCATGAAGGTTGTCCCAGAAAAGAATGCTGTCCGGATACTCTGGGGGCGAGAACGGGGTGCTCGGGCCATGGGAGCTCAGCGGCTTCTGCAGGAGCTGGTGGAAGATAAAACCCGGTGGATGAAATGGGAGGGCAAGGTAAGGAAAATGGCTATATTTCACATAGGATTTGTGCTGGTGATGGTAGAATGAGATCTTAGAATGGGTTAACAGCAGAGTTGGGATATATTTATCTTGTGTGGGAGAGTTGACATATCTGACTTAGGGAGTTGTTTGTAAATTTGAAAGAATTAATGTGCTAGAAATATCTTTTTCCTTTAGAGCTAGACAGTTTTCCTGAAGGTAATTTAGGTTTATCTCTCTCAATTTGTAGCTTGATCATTGTCTCCAGTTTTTAAGCCTACACTGTGAATACTAATCTAGAATGGTTAATGTGCTTTTGAGATAGGGTAAACCATAGTCTATAAAATACATAGTCTATGTATTTTAACTCTTTTTTTTTTTTTTTTGTCTCCCAGAGAGTAGAACTGCCGGATAGTCCACGCTCTACCTTCTTATTGGCCTTCAGCCCAGACAGGTACTTAGTAATTATCTGTAACTTAACCTTAAGATTTGTGATAACAGTGCTTTCTGTATATTTGGCCTGGCTTGATCTTCCAAGTCAGTCCCTAAAGGCTCTCTGAAGTACTTTATGAACAGTGCTTTGGCCACATGTCAGAAAGGGAAAGAAAGTAGATGAGCAGTGCTAACCTGAAAAATCATGAGAACAAGCAAAGGAAACTGAGAGGATCAAAACTTGGAAAGTTTCTCAATAACAATCATTTGCCTGTGTGATACAGCTCACCAGGGGCATGATGGTTATTCCAGTGGGAAAAAATATTTTCTGAATGTGGCATGTGTCATTTGGGGACAGCGTGGACAAGCCAAAAGCCTTTAAAGATCAGAATATTTCTGTTTGTAGATATACTGCCTAACGTACAAAGCTTAGGTTCTTTCGTGTTGGGATCGGCAGGTAGCATCACTATTCTGTGTTGTCCAAAGTTGATAAGGTTGGTTACCCTTCCACATGCTTCTGAATTAGTTCTACTCTTTGATTTTCTAGGACTCTCTTAGCCTCCACCCATGTGAATCATAATATCTATATTACGGAGGTGAAGACTGGCAAGTGTGTTCATTCCTTGATTGGACACCGCCGTACTCCGTGGTGTGTCACTTTTCATCCCACCATCTCAGGCCTTATTGCTTCCGGCTGCCTAGATGGGGAAGTTAGGATTTGGGATTTACACGTGAGTATTTCCTTAAGATACCCTTTTCTTTTGGTATTCTGGGTTTTTTTTGTTTTTTTTTTTTTTGAGACGGAGTCTCACTCTGTCGCCCAGGCTGGAGTACAGTGGCACGATCTCAGCTCACTACAACCTCCGCCTCCCAGGTTCAAGTGATAACTTCTGCCTCAGCCTCCCAAGTAGCTGGGATTACAGGCATGCGCCATCATGCCTGGCTAATTTTTATGTTTTTGGTAGAGACGGGGTTTCACTATGTTGGCCAGGCTGGTCTCAAACACCTGACCTCAAGTGGTCCGCCTGCCTCAGCCTCCCAAAGTACTGGGATTATAGGCGTGAGCCACCATGCCCAGCCTCTTTTGGTATTCTAAATACAGAGACTTGTTTACCATTGAGTTTTTAATTCTGGAAGAGCCTAACCGGGTTCTTAGGACTACATCTGAATATATTGTGGTAGACATTGCCCACTTAATTAATAGGAAGTCTAATTCCCTGTCTTCCATTCCTTTTTGTTTTTTTTTTGCAATAGCTTAAGCATGCCCTGAGATTGTCTTCCATTCTAAGATGAACATCTGCTTTTGCTTCCTTTGGCCCATTGTGACATAGTACAGGAGAATCTAAGATATGTTCAGGATGGATTTCTGTTGTGTAAGGGCAAAGATTGTCCTGTACTCCGATCATGATCATCAAAGCAAGATCCTCTTTGTCCTAGTAACTGGCTAGCAGGTTGTCTTGCACCATGTTGTGCACCAAGCTTGAGTTTTTCTCAGGCTTTAGATATAGGAACTGTGGGCTGGGCGCGGTGACTCACGCCTATAATCCTAGCACTTTGGGAGACCAAGGCAGGAGGATTGCTTGAGTTCAGGAGTTCGAAACCAGCCTGGGCAGGATATTATACCAAAAATATTATACACAAAATTATACAAAATTAGCCAAGCATGGTGCCATGTGCCTGTGGTCCCAGCTACTTGGGAGGCTGAGGTGCGAGGAATGCTTGAACCTAGGAGGCAGAGGTTGCAGTGCGCTGAGATTGTGCCACTGCACTCCAGTCTGGGTAACAGAATGAAACCCCCTGTCAAAAAAAAAAAAAAAGAAAAAAAGAAGTAGAAACTGTGTATATATGCTTATTGCTTGTAGATTGTGAATAATTTGAAGAACTGAGCTGATTGTATAGTATTTGTCTGATAAATTAGTGGCACTGCCAGATCACTGATCTTCTACATCTTTTTACAAGGATGTATTTAAAGTAGTCACTAGACGTAGTCATTTTACCTTTCTTGAAATTGACTTCCCAGTGTGCTGGTGGCTTGTAACCTGAGAATATCTGGAATTGGTTTGTTCACAGGGTGGCAGTGAAAGCTGGTTCACAGATAGCAACAATGCCATTGCCTCCCTGGCTTTCCACCCTACGGCTCAGCTCCTGCTGATTGCCACTGCCAATGAGATCCACTTCTGGGACTGGAGTCGACGGGAACCCTTTGCTGTGGTGAAGACAGCTAGTGAGATGGAACGGGTCCGGTGAGTGCGCTGCCCCATCAGCATTGTCTGGCACAGGACTGACATGATAGAGAACATTCTGCCGGCTGTCACTTTGGAAGACAGGTTGTTATCCCTGCTCAGGGGAAGTTGTCATCCTCACAGCTCCTCCTATGTTTTTTTTTTTTGAGGCAGGGTCTCACTCTGTCACCCAGGGTGGAGTGCAGTGGTGCAATCCTGTCTCACTGTGACCTCTACCTCCTGGATTCAAGCTATTCTTGTGCCTCAGCCTGCTAAGTAGCTGGGATTGCAGGCACCCACCACCACACCCGGCTCATTATTTTGTATTTTTAGTAGACACAGGGTTTCACCATGTTGTCCAGGATGGTCTTGAACTCCTGGCCTCAAGTGATCTGCCCACCTCAGCCTCCCAAAGTGCTGTGATTATAGGCGTGAGCCACCGTGCCTACCCCTGCCCTTTTTTATTTTATTATTAAAGAGACAGGGTCTTGCTCTGTTACCCAGGCTGGGGTACAGTTGTGTAGCCATGACCTCATGGGCCCAAGTTACTGCAGCCTTGACCTCATGGGCCCAAGCAATCCTCCCACTTCAGTCTTGTGAGTGTCTGGGACTACAGGTGTGTGCAACCACTCTCAGCTAATTTTTAAATTTTTTTGTAGAGATGGGGGATCTCACTGTGTTGCTCAGGCTAGTCTTCAACTCCTGGCCTTCAGTGATCCTCCTGCTTTGGCCTCCCAGAGTGTTGGGATTATAGGTGTGAGCCACTGCACCTGGCTGCCTCCTACTTTCTAAACAGCTGACTAATCAGCTGGGAGACACTCATTTTGTTCATTTCAGCTTTCCCTTATTGGCCTCCTCTTCTGAACTTTGGAGACCAGGGTCATTAGACTCTCTTTTAGTTTCAAAGTTAACTGTGTTTTGGATAGTCCTTCTTTGGGAAAACCTGAAACAAGTTTGGGTGGTATTTTAGATACCTCATTGGGTTGTCTTTGTATATCAAACTGGAAGATGGAGATGTAAGCATGTAATTGACATTTATTTAGTCCTCAAGATCAAAACATATTGCCGCTATTAAAGATGATGCATTGTGTTTCTTTGGTCCTCTTGGATTTGCAGTCAAATACAGGCCAATTTTCTGGTTTCAGCTATGTCATTTAATGCTGGGTCTGTTTGTTGCCACCAGGATTCATGCTTCTTGCTGGTGTAGCTGCCATATGAGGGAAGAACTGATTCTGTGGCAGAGTATGAGAGCATTTTATGCTTTATGGTTAGGATGAGCTCTTGTATTTGAGCAAAGATGTGCTTAATGTAGCTGTTTCCTGGGATGGAAACCCTAGGTGTTTTTCATGTGAAATCGTTATTTTTGTGATACATATTCCTTTACTCTGGCAAGAAGTATTGAGTGTTGTTATTTTAATCTCTTTGAAAGTTTTGGAAGTCTTGAATGAAGTGGATACCTGAGTGATACCAGTTATCAGTAATGATTGCTATAAATTTGAACACAAGTTTTCTCTTCTCAGTTAACATAATCTCTCTATGCGTGTCTTTGTCTCTTCTGTGCTTTCAGTCTGGTGAGATTTGATCCACTTGGACACTACTTACTCACAGCAATTGTTAACCCCTCTAATCAACAGGTAAGTTAGTCCAGCAGTTCCAATTCCAGCTAAACTGTGAGTTCTTTTCCTAACTAGTATTCCAGTTCTGATTATATTGGATTTTAATTATCAATACCCAAGTCTTTCTTTCCAGTCAAAATTTAAAGCTAGCTTCAGATTGTATATTCAGGGTTATAGTCATAATCTTGACAGGAGAGTCAATTCTAAAACTCTCCAGTGATCGCCTCATTAGAAGTAACCCTTATCATCACTAGACAATGTTGGATAGCTTGTCACTCATGTGCCTCTGGCTGGTTGACATTTCGCTTCCCCTCACTGCTTCCATGTCATGGAGAGATGTCTTTTGTAAGACAATTGGTTTGTCAGCTGCACTCATTCAGATATGCTGCTGATTGGGAGTGGAAATTTTAATACCATGGGATTATTCTGAATCTGAGGCCAGTTGTCAGTGCTTCAGGGGTAGAGAGTTGTTTCCTACCTGTGAACATTGTTTTCCTTGGATGATTGTCAGTGGTTAGTTTTTCTTGATTTACTTGGAGGTACTACCTAACTGCCTTGCTCTACCCCCTGCCCCATGCTGGTCCACATTGCAGGGTGATGACGAACCAGAGATCCCCATAGATGGAACAGAATTATCCCACTACCGTCAGCGTGCCCTCCTGCAATCACAGCCAGTTCGCCGGACACCTCTCCTCCACAATTTCCTGCACATGCTGTCCTCCCGCTCTTCTGGCATCCAGGTGGGAGAGCAAAGCACAGTGCAAGATTCTGCTACCCCCTCACCCCCACCGCCTCCCCCTCAGCCCTCCACGGAGCGCCCCAGGACTTCCGCTTACATCAGGCTCCGACAGCGGGTCAGTTACCCCACAGCTGAGTGCTGCCAGCACCTTGGGATCCTGTGCCTTTGCAGCCGCTGCTCTGGCACTCGAGTTCCTTCCCTCTTGCCACACCAGGACAGTGTCCCCCCTGCTTCTGCCAGAGCTACTACCCCTTCCTTTTCTTTTGTACAGACCGAGCCCTTCCATCCCCCGGAGCAGGCCTCGTCAACGCAGCAGGACCAGGGCCTCCTGAACCGGCCGTCTGCCTTCAGTACAGTCCAGAGCAGCACTGCCGGCAACACGCTCCGCAACCTCAGTCTGGGTCCTACCCGCCGCTCTTTGGGAGGGCCTCTGTCTAGCCACCCTTCTAGGTATCACCGAGAAATAGCTCCCGGGTTGACAGGATCTGAGTGGACCCGGACAGTACTCAGTCTGAACTCCCGCTCTGAGGCGGAATCCATGCCCCCGCCCAGGACCAGTGCCTCTTCAGTGAGTTTGCTGTCTGTGCTGAGACAGCAGGAAGGTGGCTCTCAGGCATCTGTGTACACTTCAGCCACAGAAGGGAGGGGTTTTCCAGCATCAGGGTTGGCAACTGAGTCAGATGGAGGGAATGGCTCCAGCCAAAATAACTCGGGCAACATTCGTCATGAGCTTCAGTGTGACCTGAGACGCTTCTTTTTGGAGTATGACCGGCTTCAGGAGCTGGATCAGAGCCTGAGTGGGGAAGCTCCCCAGACCCAGCAGGCCCAGGAAATGCTCAACAATAACCTTGAATCTGAAAGGCCAGGCCCTTCCCACCAGCCCACCCCACACAGCAGTGAGAACAACTCCAACCTGTCCCGTGGCCACCTGAATCGCTGTCGTGCTTGCCACAATCTCCTGACCTTCAACAACGATACCCTGCGCTGGGAAAGAACCACACCTAACTACTCCTCTGGCGAGGCTAGCTCCTCCTGGCAGGTCCCCAGCTCCTTTGAGGGTGTGCCATCGAGTGGCAGCCAGTTACCACCTCTTGAGCGGACTGAGGGCCAAACGCCCAGCTCCAGCAGGCTGGAGTTGAGCAGCTCTGCTAGTCCGCAGGAGGAGAGGACTGTGGGGGTGGCCTTTAACCAGGAGACAGGCCACTGGGAAAGAATTTACACCCAGTCCAGCAGATCTGGAACTGTGTCACAGGAGGCCTTACATCAGGATATGCCTGAGGAAAGCTCTGAGGAGGATTCACTCAGGAGGTAAGCAGTTGCTTTCCTGTCTTCTCCTGCATCCCTTGCTTTTCTCCTTGTATCATTTCCTTCAGTCCTATAGATGTTGTGGCTGTATTTGGAGTGTCTGGGACCCACGCATCTGCTTCTGATCTCCCCATTGCATTTTCTTGGAAAATCTTGCTCTGGTGGCAGAGATAGGATAGGGCCTAGCAGTATGAGTCAGTTGGCTGTGCTAGCTCTATTTCTGGCTAAGCTCAAGGTTCTGGCTTTAGCCTTGAAAGGAGAGTGTAGATTAGGTTAGAGAGGCATGAGGAGATGGAATCATTGACTTTCTCTGCCCTGCTTTTTGACCTTCTTGAGACGTTGTATGTGCAGGACTACTTATTGTGAGACAAAACAATGTCCCAGCGTGCCTAGGAATAAGTGAAAGAGAACCCTGCATAGTACAAATTAGTCTATTGATTCTTTGCTGATTGTGTTGCTTTGGACAAGTGAGTTCACTTCCTAATCCTTATCTTTTGGAACACTGCAGTTTGACAAAAGGAAAAGAAAAAAATATGTATATCTATATATATATGTATGTCAAGGAAAGTTCCAATTTTTTCAGAGATACTTGTTTTTGGACAGCCTATTAGTTGCTCAGTTGAGATTCTCTGAATGGACCTTCCAGATGGACATTCACCTTGGGGTGGAGAAGAAGAAGAATTCATGGAAGGAAGGACTCTCCATACTTGGATTGGCATCCTAGCCAACTCTTTCATGGCAGAAACAGAGTGGGTGTAGTTGATCGCCCACCACATGTTCCATGAATGGCTATGTGCGCATCTATCTTGATTTATTAGGGACTTCTTTCTGTAATTTTGTAAAGGTCAAAGCTAGCATAATCACCAACTCCCAGAATATGCCTGTTGGATCCAAACAGCATATTGCGCTGCATTACATCCTCTGTCGAAGCAACTGAAATTTCTCTGACATAAGCTTCTAACAAGGGTGGGAATATGAATTATGCACATAATGTACTTGTTATTTTGGGAGGATGCTTTAGACAGTCACTCAGTCAATAAGTATTAGTTGAATGGTTACAAATTTTCTAGTACTGTGCTAGGCACTGTGGGAAATACAAAAGAAGTATAATACATGGTCTTTACCAACCTGAGTCTACAGTGTTATTGTGGAGGCAAGACAACAAAATTTTTCAAAAGTGTAGATGAGCAAATGCTTCATTGTGTGGTACTGAGATTGGATGTAGTCTCAGAGAAAGGGAAGTATCATCCAAGAAGGCTTTGCAAAATCAAGTCTTGAAAGATGGGTAGGATTTGGAGAGGGAAAGACCTTTTTATTTTAGGGAACCAGCACATGCCAGGGAGGAAAGGGTATAGTGCATGTAAGTTCTTAGGCATTTACTAAGGGCTTGGGGTGGGAAACAGAGGGAGACTTGACTGGATGTGAAAGATAAACAAAACAGAGAAGTTTGCTAACTCTGCTCATATACTTGAAACCAGTTCTGGATTAACGGCTCCTCAATTCCTGATTTTGGAATATTGTGCCTTGCATACTGGTCTTCATCAGGGGCCCGAGCCTCTCTTCTTCCTCTTTGCCAAGAGACGTGAGAAGGCAGTCAACACAGTGCATGACATGTAGTAGGCACTTAAAAAGTTTATTAAAGATCGCTGTAAAAGGACTGTGTTCAGTTACTGCTCTAAGAAACCAAGCAGTTGCTGTTTCTGTAATACCAGTGGACTCTGGTTAGCTTTTGTCCATTCTGCTTTAGTAGTACCTCTTCATGTGCTATTCTGATAAATACCTGAGTGGTTTAAAATAAACTTTATTGTTTGATCATAATTAGTGATACCAGTTACTGCCCAGTGCGGTGGCTCATGCCTGTAATCCCAGAACTTTGGGAGGCTGAGTCAGGCGGACCACTTGAGGTCAGGAGTTCGAGACCAACCTGGCCAACATGGTAAAACCCTGTCTCTACTAAAAATACAAAAATTAGTAGGGCATGGTGGCGCGGGCCTGTAGTCCCAGCTACTTGGGAGGCTGAGGCAGGAGAATCACTTGAACCCAGGAGACGGACGTTGCAGTGAGCCAAGATTGCGCCTCTGTACTCCAGCCTGGGTGATGGAGCAAGACTCCATCTCAAGAAAAAAAAAAAAAAAGAGATACCAGTTACTGAGGGTCTACTATGTGTTAGGTATTATGTTCTTGCTTTGAAATAATTCCTTCTGCTTTCAACAACAATTCTATGCAAGTCAGGTATTCAATTTTCCATTTTATAGTTGAGGAAAGTGAGGCTCAGGGAAGTCAGTTTCTTGTTAAAGATCATATAATAGGTCTCTGAGTGAGAATATGAACTCTGGTCTTCATGACTAAAGATTTGTGCAAGCTGCCCTTCATGGCATTTTCCTTAATATGATAACTTTTTAAAAAATTTTTTGAGATGGAGTTTCACTCTTAGTTGCCCAGGCTAGAGTGCAATGGTGTGGTCTCAGCTCACCACAACCTCCGTCTCCTGGGTTCAAGCAATTCTCCTATTTCAGCTTCCCGAGTAGCTGGTATTACAGGCATACACCACCACGCCTGGCTAATTTTGTATTTTCAGTAGAGACAGGTTTTCTCCATGTTGATCAGGCTGGTCTCAAACTCCCGACCTCAGGTGATCTGCCTGCCTCAGCCTCCCAAAGTGCTGGGATTACAGGTGTGAGCCACTGCGCCTGGCCGTAACTTCATTTTTAAGTGAACCACTTTTTTTCTTTTAACATTTTATTATGGAAATCTTCAAACATATATAAAAACAAAAAGTATAACTGAGTTTCCATACACCTATAATCTGACTTCAAAGGTTATCAATGCTTGGCTAGCTTTCTTTAATCTATATTCCATCTGCTCCCCCCACCTAGATATCAGATAATTTTGTCTGTAAACACTAGATTTTCTAGAGCAGTGCTGTCCAATAAAACTTCTCACACTGATGGAAATGTTCTGTATCTGTGCTATGTAAGATGGTAGCCACTAGCCACATGTGGCTATTGAGCATTTGAAATGCTGCTACTGTTATCTGAGAAAATAAATGTAATCTTTAAATTTTTAATTAATGTGAATAATCACATGTGACTCACGGCTATGATATTGTACATCTAAAATATTATTAATCACTTAATATAGTAGGTTATTTAAAATCTAGAAACTACTGGGCAGGTGCGGTGGCTCACGCCTGTAATCCCACACTTTGAGACACCAAGGCAGGCAGATTGCCTGAGGTCAGGAGTTCGAGACCAGCCTGGCTAATGTGGTAAAACCCCGTCTCTATTAAAAATACAAAAAAAAAATTAGCCAGGTATGGTGGCGCATGCCTGTAGTCCTAGCTACTTGCGAGGCTGAGGCAGGAGAATCACTTGGACCCGGGGAGGCAGAGGTTGCAGAGAGCCGAGATCGCACCACTGCACTCCAGCATGGGCGACAGAGCGAGACTCCGTTTGGGAAAAAAAAAAAAAAAAAAGCCCAGAAACTATTGAGGATGTACCATAATTTTTTGTTTAAATATTTTTTTCTTTTCTGGTGCCAAAAAATGTATGCATTGTGGTTTAAAGTTCAACCATCTCACTGTAAACAATTTTATATTTATGCTCATTTTCTTTTAAAATATACAAATAACTCAGGATTCTCATTTTAAAATAGTATATTAATTCGGTAGTTACATTATTTATATGGAATCACTTTTAAATGAACTAGGATGTGGTATACCATGAAGGCTGACAGCTGTCTCAAAAATGAGATATGTTGTAAGATATTCTAAGTACGTACACATTAAAGAAGGACTACCATTTGAATGGCTGCATTCTGGTGTAAATCACTAAGACAAACAGTTGCTAGTCTGCCTCTTCTGCCTTCTAAAGGGACTGAAAGTCTCTAGGTGTTGAGCCAACCCTTGCTTCTAGTTCTCCAGCAGGTGTCACTGTTGGGCTGCTGCTGCTAGGTTAGGATGGCTGGGAAGAAAAGGTATCCCTACTGTTGGTGCACGAGGTTGGATCTTTTAACAAAGCCTGTTTTTGTAGATGACAGTTGTTCTTGAGTGAGTGGAGTTCACAAAAGGCGACTGTACTTGAAAGGAGAAAGTTTTGTTCATTGGCCTTGTAGTAGGAGATAGGCTAAGGTGAGATGTTTGGATCCTTGATGCTGCTGGAATATTTAATAGTGTTTGCAAATAGTGACGGTATTAATAAGCATATAGTGTGTATTTCAGTGTAGCTGTGTGCTGCCAAGTGGTAATAACCAGTACACAGTTTGTCTCCTTTTGCCTGTGGACAGTGGAAGACGAGCTGTCTTTTTATAATAGTCTGATGCTACATTGCAACTTGAGTGGCAGGCCCTTGCTTCACTACAAAGAAACGATTTCTCTGTGGGAGTGCAGAATCCAGCAGAAGATCAGGGTATTGTGGCTCCTTGCAGTAGGGTGCCCTTGGCCTTTAAAGGCTGGTATTAGGAAAAAGAAAATGGCTTCAATGGCAAGTTAAAACTGGAGGGAACCTAGAACTTCTGTAGTCCAATCTCCCTCTCTGATGAGAAAACAGAGAGAGTAAATTATTTCTTAAAGAAGTGTTTATAAGCAAAAGTGGGATTCGAACTCCTGGGCCCTGAAGAGGGCACCCTTTCCTCCATTTCATTTGAAATTAGTGCCTTCAAACAGCAGTTTTCTTTGTCAAAACCTCTGTCGCTCACGTAGGTCATTGCCTGAGGGGGTTCTTCATTCAGCTCTTATTGTAAGAAATTGGAGGTCTGTTAGATAATTTGTAATTATTATTGTTGAGCAGAATGGTAACTAACGCAATGCTTCTAGGAGAAATGCTGTTTTAGTTATTTGCCCATAGAACTACATTGATTAGTTCTAATAAAGTGATCCCTGTTAGGGGTGTTCATTATTAAAATTCCAGCAACTGAGAGAGATGAAAATTGGTCTCAATCTCCTCCTAGAAGCACTAATTGTTTCTGTATTCTGTCTCCAGGTAGTTAAGAAAGGCTTGGGTCTG